GCGGTTATGCATTGTGTATGTATAGTCCTCCCACCTATGAGCTCAGCACAGGAAGAAGACAGTCAACAATTTACATGAATAACTACTCAGGCGGAAACAGGACCATATTTGTTGAAGGGCTGTGAGCACATGGGAGGAAACTGAAAACTCTAGCTCAAACGCAGTTCTGAAAGTGTAGTGTGGAATCACTTTCATCTGAAAATTGAATTCCAGCCTGATATTTGGGCAACACATTACATGTAGGAGGTATACATAACATCTTTATGAAACCAGTCATAAAACCTTTATGAAACCAGTCATAACACCTTTATGAAACCAGTCATAACGCCTTTGATAGTTTCAATATCATGCATAACAACCTTTAATAACACATTTATTCAACATTATTCATAAGGACTTTTCAAAATAAAACTCCCTTTGAATAAAATTGTATTCGTCCATTGTAAAATTGAAATGTGTATCTTTACTGTCACAGTACCAAAACTCCTTACACACTATTCAAGCAACAGGTAGGGAGCAGCACAGGGCCACAATGGCAGCAGGGGGTGGCACCAGCCCCGGGTGTAGAATCTTTCAAATACAAGAGATAGCTGTGCTTGATTGAGCTTGCCTGGCAAGCTCTAGTCTTGTTGACATTATGGGAGGCAACCCATCTGCCTAGGGAGACTAGGCGAGCTCCATTGACTAATCAATGGAATAGTCCCAAAAGTGTAAACCCCACATGCCCAAGATTTCAAATACTATCTGAACCCAGGTCTGGTTGGCACCTGAGTCATTGTTTGCCATTGTAATGTGGTAGTAAGCCGTCTATAGCTGCGACCTGAAGACTAGCTCCACAAACGAATGCCTATCTCAGCAGGCTAACACAATATTGTGATGCCCAGGAGACCTGGGCTTCAACCCACCCTCTTAGTAACACCAGTAACCATCTGGTTACTCCCACCAGATTTTTCTACTAAAATAACCTTTTGTACTTTAATGAAAAGGGACTTATTTTGAAGACCCCTTGTAGGCCTACTGCAATTGAAGAATGAACCAGTTGTTTCTTTCAGGTTCTATTTCCTGCAGTTTCTTTCTCCTTTCATGCTTAAGTTTCGATTTCCTGTTCAGCACAACCCCCATAGTTTCAGTTCTGTAACATTTACCTGTTGTAAATGGATTAACTCATTAAGTACCATATCTGATTGGAGAGAAACACTTAAGACAATATGTAACAAACAGTGAAATATGTGTATGCACCAAGAATAAGATTGTTATGTTCATTATTATTCAATACATTGTCAGCCCCATAACATCACACTTACTCTTTAAAAGTAAAAAAGGATGGACATTATTCAAATGCCAGGGAGGCATTAGGACCCAGTGCATGTCTGTGTTGACTGCCCTTGCAGAAGACACACCCTGTTGCTATGTGCGGAAAAGAAAAGTAGCCAGTCTGTCAGGTTGTCACTTCATATGGTGAATACCACTTCAGCCGTCAGTTTCAAGGTGAGCAGTATGAAATGTACTTAAACATTGTGGAACATTTGTATTTTGTATGAAGCTAATTGACTGTCATAATAATCACAGGAATAAAGGCTGTTCAAAGTGCAATGATTGTAGGTTTAGTTGTGGATTAAAAATGTTATGATTTCTCAGGGTATAGTAGGATGATCACATCTCTACTGTTGCACCTTCTATTCTATGGCATCTGAATCTTTGACATTACCATTGTTGTTTCATCTCTAGAATTTATGTATAAAATGAATACCATGCCATGACTCACTTTTTAACTTTATTCAGCTATTAAGAATGCTTTCTTAATGAATTTTTAGTAAACAATGTTTTGTTAAGATTGCACAGAATTAAAGGTAGGATACAACATAAAGACACAAGACATAGAGAGACAACATAGAAAATATCCATGCACTGGAATTGAAGTGTTTCTGTTTGTGGAATCCAGAAATGTTATCTGTTGTCTCTAAAGCATTGTCCCTAAAATGTTTTAATGCCCTGCACGATCAATAAAAACACATGCAATTACATGAAGTAAATATACTCCAACTACTGAAAGTTGAGACATAGAAAATGTAAACAAATAAAAATAGTAAGTTAAATCAATCTGTTCTGAGGTTCCTGGTTGAAGTGATTGGCAGAGCTGACAAGAATGGTGCACTGAGTGTCAAGTTCATTTATGAGGGTAAACAGTAAACACCCATATGAATGATCTCTTTGTATGTCATTTGCCAAAGGACAAGGCTTAATCATTATATGTGTTAGTGTTTTTACCCTCGAGGACCACTTTGGAAACAAGTGTTTTAATTAAAACGTTTAAGTGCTATCCTCTGGGTCTACATTGATCATTTTGTTGTACACTATGTATACAAAAGTATGTGGACACCACTTCAAATTAGTGGATTCTGCTATTTCAGCCACACCCATTGCTGACAGGTGTATAAAATCGGGCACACGGCCATGCTATTTCCATAGACAAACATTGGCAGTAGAATGGCCTTACTGAAGCGCTCAATGACTTTCAATGTGGCACCGTCGTAGGATGCCACCTTTCCAACCAGTCAGTTCGTCACATTTCTGCCAAGCTAGAGCTGCCCCAGGCAACTGTAAGTGCTGTTATTGTGAAGTGGAAACGTCTAGGAGCAACAATGGCTCAGCCGTGAAGTTGTAGGCCACACAAGCTCACAGAACGGGATCGCTGAAGCGCGTAGCGCGTAAAAATCATCTGTCATCGGTTGCAACACTCACTACCGTGTTCCAAACTGCCTCTGGAAGCAACGTCAGCACAATAACTGTTTGTCGGGAGCTTCATCAAATGGGTTTCCATGGCCGAGCAGCCACACACAAGCCTAAGATCACCATGCGCAATGCCAAGCGTCGGCTGGAGTGGCGGAAATGCGTTCTCTGGAGTGATGAATCACGCTTCACCATCTGGCAGTCCGACGGACGAATCTGGGTTTGGCGGATGCCAGGAGAATGCTACCTGCCCCAATGCATAGTGCCAACTGTAAAGTTTGGTGGAGGAGGAATGATGGTCTGGGGCTGTTTTTCATGGTTCGGGCTAGACCCCTTAGTTCCAGTGAAAGGAAATCTTAACGCTACAGCATACAATGACATTATAGACAATTCTGTGCTTCCAACTTTTGGCAACAGTTTGGGGAAGGCCCTTTCCTGTTTCAGCATGACAATGCCCCCGTGCACAAAGCGAGGTCCATACAGAAATGGTTTGTCGAGATCGGTGTGGAAGAATTTGACTGGCCTGCACAGAGCCCTGACCTCAACCCCATCGAACACCCTTGGGGATGAATTGGAACGCCGACTGCGAGCCAAGCCTAATCGCCCAACCGCAGCGCCCAACCTCACTAATGCTCTTGTGGCTGAATGGAAGCAAGTCCCCGCAGCAATGTTCCAACACCCAGAAGAGGGGAGGCTGTTTTAGCAGCAAATGGGGGACCAACTCCATATTAATAACCATGATTTTGGAATTAGATGTTTGACAAGCAGGTGTCCACATACTTTTGGTCATGTAGTGTATATGTCTGTTACACAAATATATTCAATTCAATTCAATTAAAATATTGAGGTCAACGATTCATTTTTCACTTTTGCCTGAATAACCCTTCCTTTTATTTTCCTCTCTCAGAGATGCCGAAATGAACTGACGCAGTGTCTGCAAGATGGGTAAGTTAGATACATAAAACTGTCAAATACTTTTATACTGTGAGTAGTTTTACAGTACATTGAATGAAAAGCTATCAGTGAAATGTGGATTCTGTTTCTGATCAATTCTATACATTAAGTAGAGATTGTCTAGATATGTTTAGCTCAAAGTTTCATCCATTTTAAATCATTGGCCATTGGAATAAGAAAATAAAAAATGTAATGTGTCACACAGTGCTCAAGCCTAGTCATGACATGTAATCAGAGAAGAATGGCTATTATCATCTGATTAATGTTTAAATATAAATATGTGCAATGACTATGTGGGTCATTCTTGAATTGCGGTGGCTTTTGCGTCCCTCGCTTTGCAACCATGAAAAACACTTTAAAATGACAAATAGTTACACATTCATTGGATAGTTTAGTGTCTAAATAAAAAGTGTCATTGGTGTTACTGATTAATCATATCACTTAAGTAAACTATTTTTAAAGGGTTAATGACATTAGATTTGAGCATCTACGGCCTCAATTATCAAAAATGTGTCATTGGTCTAATCATCATTGGTGTTACTACTGCTACATGTGGCACAATGGTATCATAATGGTAAAAATGATTTAAAGGTGCAATATGCAGAAACTGCTCTGCCATTTCCTGATTGCTAAAATTTCTAATAGTTCGCTTAATTTCAGTTTATGTGATAAAACAAGCAGTCATTGTGTAGAGAATTATTGTACCATCCAAACCACTATGACATTTATTTTCCATAACCATTGTATTTTCAGCTGTTTGAAGCTGGTGTACAAAACCGAAAGAAAAAGACACAAAAACAAAACTTAAGAACGGGAAGCATAGAAATAGCTCACATAGAATAGATCTACCACTTCTTAGACTTGCTTTCAATGAGAATAATATATCTAGAACTCACATTTCTATGTGAATGTGGTCGTCCAAAAATGTACACATTGCAGCTTTAAACTAATTAAGCTGCCATATTAGTTGACTTAGAATGGCACCCAAACAAGATGTACCCAAACACATTTACATAAATACAAATCCTAAATCTCATTCCCAAAAGCCACCGCAATTCTAGAATGACCCATGTACAATATGTAGAATAGTTATTTGATAAAAATCATTATTGATGGGAAATCAATCAAAAGTGGTTATTAGTCTATCCATGCTCAGGGTTGGGGTACATCTTTTAATCAGACAATAGGAAGTGAATTTAAATTATATTAATTATTTTCTGACTATTATTTGTATTAATTTAATTTCAATTCACTACCTGAACTGATTAAATTGAAAATAGAATTCACCTCAACCCTGATGCAAATATTGATATACCATGAAGTCTTACATGGGTGAGTATTATTTTTTACAGAGTGGAAGGAATTACCATGTGGCGAATGGACAGAATCCCATGTGAGCTCCTGGTTAAAATTCATTGGAGTGAAAGAGACGTACATTCTGAAACTGTACGAAGAGGAGGTTACAGGACCTGCACTAATTGAGTTACAGGAAAAGTATCTACGCGATACAATTGAAATGAAAGGCGGCCAAATCCAACTAATGCTGCACAAACGAGATGAACTTTTGAAGCCAGTACCACAAAAAACAAAAGCAGTCAGTAGCACACAGAGAGGTACCAGAAATGTTGAATCTAGTGCTGAATTCACACAAGAATCTAAAGACAAAGTTGCGAGATCCAGTGAAAAAAGTAGACCCGTTTCCATACCGAATGAAGGTGAACCAAAATCAGACGGTGCATCTTTGCCGCTTTGTGACTTTCGTAAATTTGATGACAGTGACAAAGAATTCAGATATGTCAAAAACACAGTACTTCCACCAGAGACTGGAATTGAAAACATGATTGTTCCATGCCATGAATACAAGTCACTGGAAAATGCCCACAAATTGGAATCACAAAAACTCAAGGTCAAAGTTGCAAGTGAGGTGCTCAGATTTTCATGTGCATGCATGAATATGCGGTCCAATGGCACAATTCACTTTGGGGTCATGGATAAAGTCAAAGGCATCTACAAACATGGTGAAATCATAGGAATACCAGTTCAAAACCAAGATGACTTTGTGGATGCATTAGACTACATTGAAAAGTGCTTCAGAGGATCAACCCATCAGTCTGATGCCAGGAAATGCATAAGGAACCCAAAGTTCATTGAGGTAATTGACAAGGAGGCCAGTGAAACAACCTGGATCATTGAATATGATGTTGTCCCCAAGGCAAAAGTGGTGAAAGACAAACTGTACAATGTCACTATTCCAAAGTTCAGCGAGAAAGCCAACAAAGTAATCTATGAGGAGAAAGCCCCCTATCACAGAGTAGGGGCTAACACACCCCACATATCAGAGGATGGCCTAATTCATTTCATTCAAGGTCTGAGGGACAAAGATCAACAGAGAGAGGAGGCTGAACTCTCAGAAAACCAAACAGCTTCTGACTGTAGAGAGGATCAGAAGAGAAAACTCTCCATCCTCCTCACATGTGGAAAAAAGTACATGAATGACTCACTGTTCTACATCATAGTGACAAACAAACTTCAACAAAAACATCTTGAGAACATCAACTTCTTGACTCACATGAATATATTTTGTGTGTTTGACTTTGACCCAGACTCGAAGACATCGGGTCTATGTGATAAATATAAAGAGCACCATGCCGCAAGCCTTCATTTTCTGCATGACTATGCTAATGATAGTGGGGTGAGCACCACTGACTTCATAAACCGTTTGAAGCTCTTTGATAGACCAAGCTGGATTTTCTGCAATGGGCGAAGCGATTACCGTGGAGATGAGAAACCTTGTGATGAAGAAACCTGGATGAAAACCAAAAAAAAGCAACTGAAAAGGGCAGTGTCCGTCATCTGCAATGAAATTCTTCCTAAAGGGTCATTTGTGGTGGTTTTCTTGCTCATGTCTCAGGTCGAACAGCCTCTTGTTGATACATTCCATGAATTCTATGCAGAAATGAATGGTGGTGATGATTTGGCTATAATATCAGAGTCAAAAGAGAACTACAAAAAGTGGTCTAGCCTTGCCCAGGTATCTTGTAGCATGGCTGCACTCAAAGAGATCAGTATTGTTGAAATGCCACTGAGTCATGTTGATGCCACTGTTCAAACTATTCAGCTTTCAGTTAGTCAACCAACAAGGCGCTTACCAGTCTTCAACAAAGGATTGTGCTTCTTAAAGGCAGTTGAAGAGGATGAGATTAATTCTTTGGACATAGTCAGTGTTGACCAGTGTGATAACACAAAGGTGGAGATAATGGACCAAGACAAAATCAGCACCATTGAGAAGTATTTCTATCAAGGTGGGAAGATAGACTGGATGAACTTGTGGCTTGCAGACAAAAATCTATGTGGAGAGGTCATCAAGCGAGATGCATACAAAGAAACTAATGAAATTCTGGAGAACATTGTACATTGTAGTCAAGTCAAAAGATCCATTGAGACTGTGAATATATGTCACCATCCTGGCAGTGGTGGGAGTACAGTTGCACGACAGATCCTCTGGAGTTGGAGGACAAAATTGCGATGTGCAGTTGTTAAACAATTAAAGGAATTCACAACTGTGTGTGAGCATGCAGTGCGTCTACGGGAATATGAAGAAAAAGACAAAAACAGCTGTCTCCCTGTACTGTTGCTGTTGGAAGATTGCAATGCAGATTATCTGGATGACCTTAGGCGGGAAATAGGCAACGCAATTGCAACCAAGAAAATAAGTGCCTCTGTCCTATGTTTTATCCTGCTCATTTGCAAAATGGCCCATGATCCAGAGAGGATGTGCCGAGCATTGCCGTCTCAGACCGTCGCAGTGACACACAAACTGACAGATGGAGAGAAGACTCTCTTCTCAAAGAAACTGAAGAAACTAAAGCTGAAATTTGAACATGACTTCATTCTCACATTAGTACTGATGAGTGAGGAGTTTAATCCAAGCTACATTGAGGGATTTGTGAAGAATCTGCTGGACAATATTGATCATTCATCTCTCATTACTCGGCTTATGAGATTTGTAGCATTGTTGAACTGTTACATTCATGACTCCTACATATCTGTGTCACACTGTGAGGCTTCCCTTGGCATAGATATGCACGTGGATAAAATCCGTTACCATGCATTTCTGGACAGTCTTAGTGAACAAGCTAGACTTGTTTTCATACACCTTTCACCTTTCAAAGGAGAAAATCCATTATACCTCTCGTCCATACGGATAATTCATCCACTGGTGGCAAAGGAAATTCTGAAGCAGCTCTCTACAACCGTGCCTCAAAGCATGATAGCAATGGATCTACTACAGGACAAAGTACTGATGAACCATAGGTTTGGCAAGGATGAATTTTGGAAGTTCATCCAAGTTCTCTTCATCAGACGCAACAAAAAAAGCAGAGGAGATCCTAAAGACAGTTCATTCTCTCCTCTGATTGAACATGTCAGCACTGAAACAGGAGGAATTCAAACAGCTGTTGATCTTTTGAAAGCAGCCTACACATCTTTAGGAAAAGATCCATTTGTTGCCCAGCAGCTTGCACGTCTGCTTTACACAAACACAAGATTCAAGGAAGCCCTACATTGGGCTGAAGAGGCAAAAAAAATCCTGCCATTTGATACATTTGTCCTTGACACATTAGGACAGGTGTACAAGTGGTGGTTTTATCACATGCACGACACCCTTGACAAGCAAGAATTACTGCCTGAAAAGGTTACTGAAATCATAGACACTGCTCTGAAAGGAATTTCTGCATTCCGTGCCTCAGAACAAAAACCCTTAAAAAAAACAGTCAGTTTGAACAGTTCCTACTATGGGGAGGTGGATGTTGGATGTAGACTGCTTCAACTCATATCATCAGTTGATGTTTTTTCAACCAAAGGTGGAAATTCTGAGCTGATGAAATACTTGCTGACTGAATACATACCACAGGCAGTTAAAAAACCCTGGCGGAGTTTCCACAGCCAGTTGAAAGGAATGCAAAAGAGTATTTACCATGCTCTTGAGTGCATTTCTGAAGACCTCAGTTACTTTCAGACAGACATTAGTGACGAGGAACAGGAACTTGACACAAGAGAGCCTGAACAAGTTCACAATCCAAGGAAATGGCTGACAAGGACGAGTGCTGTGTATGCTGGCTTTTTTTGTAATGTTTCTGATCTAGGCAACCCAATGCCTGACAACATTGATGATGAAATGGCCACTAAAGCTGAAATAGCCAACTCATTCCAAAGACAAATGAACATTTACAAGCTAGGAGGAGGAAACATCACATCCATCCTCTCCTTACTCTATGATCAGAAGACAGTGAGATCTGCTAAAAAGCTGGAGGCAATAATTGGCATGTATCCAGAGAACCTCAAAAGGAATGACCTCGAACAGACAGAACTTGTCAACTTCATCTTTTGTCAGATAGCTCTTGCTTGTGCTTTACCTGGCTCATCAAAGCTACTTTTACCTGAACAACTCCAATATCTCAGCATGAGATTTAACACAGAGGGAAAAAACACTTCAACAGCTAGTGCTCTTTTTCTTCTCTTACTTCTGCTCTGGCCAGAGGAGCCAAGCAGAGAGAATCCTAATCCAGCTCATAGCCAAGTCCTCATGTCAGCAATTGATGCACTTCAGAGACTTTATGAGCTCAAAATTCAACATGTTCCTCCAAGAAAGAGTAGAATAGCGACCCACTTCTTTCTTGGAAAGGGAAAGGGTCTGTACAAGATTGTTCACAAGGGTCTGATTGAAAAGCACATAAAAGGAAATCTCAGTGAAAGAAGAATGAAGTGGCTAGGAGGTGAGGTGTGGACAACCCCTGAGGTTGTACGATTGCTGAAACGTGTTGAAGGATGGACAGAAAATGGACACCTGTTTGTTCAGGGCACAACCAAAGGGAGCAAGATCAGGGTCATTCCACGGTATTCAGCATCTCTACCAAATGCAAACGAAAATGTAACTTTCTACCTAGGCTTTTCTTTTGACGGGGTGCTTGCTTTTGACATTCAAGTTTTGGACTAATCTAACAGGTCTAAGGAGTAATGCTACAAACCACAAGCATTAATACAAAATAAGATCCCAAAGTGATCGCCTACTACGTTATCTAAGAGCTGTTTAATTTTTTTTACATTTTAGTAATTTAGCAGATGCTCTTATCCAGAGCGACTTACAGTTAGTGAGTGCATACATTTTCATACTGGCCCCCCGTGGGAAACGAACCCACAACCCTGGCGTTGCAAGCGCCATGCTCTACCAACTGAGCTACACGGGATATCGCCAGTCAATAGGTGACACTGCTGTTTGATCTGAGTTTGGTATTCTATTGTAGCAGTGAGCCAAGTGAGGCACTGTTTACTATGCACTGAACTGTAAAATAAATGATACTGTACCTCCCGGGAGCGACGTTCAGAATCAAAAGTCCAAAGTTATGGTCACAAACAGAGTTTAAAGGGGTTATTAACAAAAATAGACAGCCAAAAGACTAACCCAGTCATTACTGTAGTTCAGTACATGCCAAAGCCAAATGCTCAGCATTCCGTGTCACTTGTAAATCATGCAGCAAACGAAACCATTTTGCCAGAGTTTGTAAACAAGCAAACCTCAACTCAATCTAGTAGAGGAAGACAATGAGTCAGATGACCAAGCAACAGAAGTGGACACAGCAGCCCTACCTGTGCAGCAGCTACCAAGACGGATACCTATTCCACTGGAAGAAAAGATTAAAGGCCATACACTCAATGGACAATGACAAAATCATCACAAAAGAGCCAACACTGTAGATCAGCAACATGGTCGTCATTGAAAAGCCAGAAAAACGACGAATCTGTATGGACCCTAGTGCACTCAACAAAGCCTTACTGAGATTGCACTACCAGATGCCCACCATAGAAGAGATTCCACCAGAGATATCCAACGCAAAGGTATTCTCAGTACTCAACGCCAAAGATATCCATTGGTAAGTCAAACTTGATGAAGAGAGCAGCTATCTAACAACTTTCTGGACACCCATAGGCAGGTATAGATGGCTGAGAATGCCATTTGGAATCAAGGCAGCAGCTGACGAATACCAGTGCAGACAGCGTGAACCACTACAAGGCTAAAAGGAGTGAGTGTCATCGCAGAGGACATTCTACCCTATGGATGTGGCGGCACAAATGAGAAGAAGTGAGAACAAGCAATGGCATATCATATCAGAAACCTCACAGCTCTCCTGCAGAGAGCCAGAGATATCAATCTGAAGTTGAACGAAAATGAACTCAGGTTAAAGCTACCTAGTGTGCTGTAGCATGGGTCATCTTCTCACCACAGAGGGTCTTCGCCCCATACCCAGAGAAGATAACAGCCGTTTAGAACATACAGACACCGACCAACGTCAAGTCACTACAGCGGCTGTAAGGGTTTGTGAACTATCTTGAAAAATCTAAAGGAAAAGGCTGCACACTGCTGTTCATGCTCGCAGCTGATTTTATTGTTACAACGTCGACCCTTAAGTCTTCATCAGGCATCAATAACCTAAGGGTCGAAACGTTGTAACAATAAAATCACCTGGGAGCATGAACAGCAGTGTGCAGCGTTTTTATTTTTCATGAATTCACCTAGAACTCCAACACCTACATACAAGTACCTGGATGTGCGTATGTTCTTCAGCTTTTGTTTATGAACTATCTTGCAAAATTCATGCCCAATCTATCTGATGTGTGCGAGTCGCTCAGACGACTGATTGACAAGGGCATTGAATGGACATGGCTGCCACAGCATGACGCAGCAGTTGAGACTATTAAACAGTTAGTCACACAACATCCAGTGCTTAAATAATACGACCTGAATGATGAAGTCACTCTGCAATGTGACGCCAGTGAAACAGGCCTTGGCGCAGCCCTTCTACAGAAAGGAAAACCTGTTTGCCTCCAGAACATTGACTCAGACAGAACAGAGATATGCACAGATTGAAAAAGACTGTCTCGCCATTGTTTTTGCATGTGTCAAGTTTGATCAGTTTCTGCATGGCAGAGAGTTCATCACAATACAAAGTGACTACACAAGCCGCTCATGACGATCTTCAAGAAATGTCTACTCACAGCACACAAGCGACTGCAGAAAATGTTGCTTAGGCTACAAAGATACCAGCTCCATATGCAATACAAACAAGGCAAAGAACTACATGTAACTGACTTCCTGTCCAGAACAGCTCTATCAACCACAGAGCACAGACAAACGCAAACACCAGCCAGTCTACGCTATGGCCCTGACCACAACTGACCAGGAACAATTGGATCACACCGTGATGTGAACATCTCAACTAAGACAGCTCAAATCAACAAAGGCTGGCCAGGAAGTTCGGAACCAAATAGGCTGTGAGTCACACTGAGAGATTTCTGGACACACAAAGAGGAGCATACGTTTCTTTCGCGTCGGGAACAACAGTTGTTGACAACTGTAGCATTGTAGCTAAGCCTAACCCTTTTCCTAATCTTAACCTCAGTCTCCTGACCTGCCACTCTAATTCACCTAACCTGCCACGTTAATTAACCTAAACTGCCACGTTAGATATCCTAACCTGGTATGTAAACAAATCATCTGTGTCGAGAAACCATCAGTCTCATTACACCGGAATGGCAGGTGTCAATGGGAGTTTCCTGATATCAGTGTACACCTACATCAAGAAACGTGGTTTGCAATTACACCATGTTCTGTTTTCTGGCCATGGATTACGGAGGACGTAAAGCTCTTCATCAGCCAATGTGTCACCTGCAACTCCATCCAGAAGAGACAGCAAAAGGAGACACTCATCCCGCACCAAATCCCTCCCCTCCCATGGTCCAAGGTCGGAATGTACTCACTTTCAACTAAACCAACTACCTCATCATGGTAGGTTATTACTCTGACTATTGGGAGCTAGACGAGCTGACTGACTCCCTCAGCCACCATCATTAAATGCTGCTAAAGACAGTTCAGCAGACATGGCGTTGCCCACACTGTTGTCTCTGGCAATCCGCCCCCCTTTCCGAAATAGATTTCCCAAAATGTGATGATGAGTAGGTATTTAGGCACGTGATATCATCACCATACCATGCCAAAGCAATTGGATGGTGAAGACCCATGGAAAACAGTGCTGGCATGGAGGAACACTCCAACAGAGGGACTCATCAGTTCTCCTGCTCAGCGGCTCATGTCAAGGCTCACACGCACGCTCCTGCCCGCCACGGACACACTGCTCAAACCCCAAGTGGTACAAAATGTAATTGCAAGAAAACAAGCCAAAGGACTGACAGCAAAACACCACTATGACACACGTGCCTGTGACATGCCCAACATCATCCAAGGACAAACAGTAAGTGTCCTTCTCCACCGCAACAACTCAGCCAGCACTTGGAAGCTTGACATATGCACCAATCAATTCAGTGACCGGTCGTATGAAGTACTGATGAACGCTAAGAATTACTGCCGAATCAGAAAATACATTAATCCAGTGACTGATACACCCGATAGAACACCAAACAAACAGGGATGAGGATGACTGGGGACCATGGAACGAACCGAACCCGCCATGTCAGTGGGGGGTGAACAGGCCGCTGCTATGGATGCAGCCTCACAGCCTGAAAATCAAGCTCTGAGACACAAGAACGAGAGCAAATATCAGGCCTAAAAGGTCATACAAAAATATACTAAAAAGAGAGAAGCAGAGTGGAGTAGTCTGCTTATGGACTTTAAGGTGTATTCTTGTTGAAGGTGTTTTTTTAAGAACCCAATTCTATGTTTTTGTTACCCCTGTTATGTTTACTTTCAACGGTCTAACCCACAGCTATGGGTGTAACGCAAAACATTGAGCCCTATGACCATGGAATAGATTTAGGTTGTTTACCTGAGTTTGGTATTCTATTGTAGCAGTGAGTCAAGTGAGGCACTGTTTCCTATGCACTGAATGGAGCTGTATGCATGCTACTGATGCTGAAGTAAAGACACTATATGAACAATACCTTGCTCTTATATTGTATAATCAGTACACAAAACAAGAGCTAGTAAATGTTTTGAAACAGTGATATTTTGAGATGACTAAGAAGTCATTTGTAAAAACAGATAAGGTTTTATAAGTCCCTGTTTAAATAAAGTGCAAATATATAATGAATACTGTTGTTGTATGTATAGCAATTCTTTACTGTCCATATATTACAAGCAGTTTTATGTGTTTTTGTCCATGTAAATGTGTGTGTAGGTTCAATGCACAGTACCTTGATTTATCATTTAACCTTATCATCAATTAAAGGAATATAATGTTTAAAACTGGCCTTTCCATGTTGCTTAGCTAGCTTTTCATTATACAGTACAATAAAACCTCATGTGCAGATATCTACTAAGTCGGCTATGGTTACTCAGATGTAACACCTTAACTTGGAACCTAAATTTACTATGGGTACTTAATAACTTATAATGTGTGGTGTACACATCTTACTTCATCCTACTTCATCCTAATATCTTCAACCATAGTATTTCCTATATTGCACTGTGAAAGTGTGACATGTATACTGTATATTGTCTGTACCTGCAGTGTTGCAACACACCTTATCTTCCGGAATAACATGTCATGGGTAAACACAATAATAACACTTGAGATGGTTTATTACATTATTTATTTATTATTTACTTATCTAATCAATTCATATTGTTTTATTATTATTATTAAAAAGCAGAATACAGATCCAGTTCATACAGAATAGGCTATTACCTAAAACAGGAATGAGTCATCTTCTCAGTTGTGCAGGTCACACCCATGATTATTAGAGCGGTCTTCACAAATGTTACCATTCAACATGAAATTATACTGTACACCACAGACTCTGGAGTGTGAAAGGTTCAGGGTCCAGATACTATTAACTCTGATGTAAGAAAGATACTGATACAAAAAGAATAGTCCTACACATATAGTCTTTGAATATAGAGTAGTCTAAGGCAGGGGTCTTCAACGTTTTCTCGGCCAGGGACCCCGACCCAGGCAAACTGACGACCCAGGGACCCCCATCATATGTTAACCAAAAAACATTTTGCATCTTGTCTTATCATCAGGTGAATGATAATGGCAAGGAGAAGTAGCCTAATCAACATTTTAAAATATATAGATTTGGTAGATCGTTTTTCATTATTTTGACATCCCCATGTTATAATTGGAAGTGTAAACTCTAACATAGCCTATTAGCTAGAACTAACTCCAAACACATTTTCGCTACTAGCAGCTGTTTAGCTGGTTAAACAAAGGCTAGCCATGAGGTAATCAGATTTGCTTGTGGGTGCATGAACATGCGGACCAATGGCACAATACACTTTGGGGTCATGGATAAGAGTAAAGGCATCCACAAGCATGGTGAAATCCTCGGAATACCAGTTGAAAACCAAAGTGACTTTGTGGATGCATTGGACTACATTGAAAAATGCTTCAAGGAGTTTGACCACCATTCTGATGCCAGGAAATGCATAAGGAACCCAAAGTTTATTGAGGTAATTGACAAGGGGAACAGTGGAGGAAACTGGATCATTGAATTGATGTCGCAACAAAGTCATCTATGAGGAGAAAGCACCATATCACAGAGTAGGGGCCAATACACCCTGCATACCTGGTGAAGACTTAGTTCATTTCATTCAAGGACCTGTGGAAAAAAGTACATGGACGACACCTTGTCATTCATCATTGTGACAAATAAGTTTCAAGAAGAACATCTGAAGACCATCAACTTCTTAGTGCACATGAAAATCTTCTGTGTGTTTGATTTTGACCCAGACTCCAAGACATCTGGATTATGTGGGCAATATCGTGAGCACCATGCTGCTAACCTTCACTTTTTGCATGACTATGCTACTGATCCTCATCTAAGCACCACTGACTTCAAGCAGAGCTTACAGCTCTTTGATAGGACAAGCTGTATATTCCGCAATGGGCGGAATGATTACCATGGTAGTGAAGAGCCTTGTGATGGAAAAACCTGGATCAGAACAAAGAAAAAACAACTGAAAAGACAAGTGTCTGTCATCTGCAATGAAATCCTCCCTAAAGGTTCATTTGTGGTGCTTTTCTTGCTCATGTCTCAGGTCGAACAGCCACTTGTTGATACATTTCATGAATTCTATGCAGAAATGAATGGCCATGATGATTTTGCTATCATCTCAGAGTCCAAGGATAACTACAATAAGTGGTCAAGTCTCGCCCAAGCATCTTGTGATTTGGAATCATTCGAACAAATCAATATTGTGGGCATGCCAATGTGTCATGTAGATGCTACAATTCAAAGCATTCAGCTCTCCAATAAACAACTGACTAGACGTTTACCTGTGTTCAACAAAGGGCTGTGCTTCCTGAAGACTATAGATGAAGACACAATGCTTTCTCTGGACATAGTCAGTGCTGACCAATGTGATGAAACAAACTTGGATGTAATGGGCAATGACCAAGTTAGCAACATTGAGAAGTATTTCTATCAAGGAGGGAAAATCAGCTGGATGCACTTGTGGCTTGCAGAAAAAGTGAAGTGTGAAGAGGTCATTCAGAGAGACGCATACAAAGAAACAACCAAGATTTTAGAGGGTATTTTACAGGGTGATACAACAAAAAGGTCCATTCAGAGTGTCAATAAATGTCACCAACCTGGCAGTGGGGGAAGCACAGTTGCACATCAGATCCTCTGGAACTGTAGAACCAAACTCCAGTGTGCAGTGGTTAAGCAATCATACCATATTCAAACTGTATGTCAGCATTCAGTACACCTCCGAGAATATGAAGAGAAAGACAAAAACAGTTGTCTCCCAGTGCTCTTGCTGCTGGATGACTGTAATGCAGAGTATATAGACGAGCTCAGACGGGAATTAGGTAATGCAATTGCAACCATGAAGATCAATGCTTCGGCATTATGTTTCATCCTTCTTATCTGCAAAAGATGCCACAACCCAGAAAAAATGAGCAGGAATTCCCAGACAATACCAGTGACACATGAGCTGTCTAAACAGGAGAAGATTCTATTCAAAAAGAAACGACAAGAACTGATGTTTGAACCGGAGTCCATTCTAGCTTTTGTACTCATGAGTGAGGGATTTCAGAAGAGTTACATTGAGGGCTTTGTGAAGAACCTACTGGAGGATATTGACCACTCATCTCTCACCACTCGCCTTATCCGATTTGTGGCCTTGCTCAACTGTCATGTTCAGAACTCCTACATATCTGTGTCACACTGTGAGGCCTCCCTGGGCTTAGGCATCCAAATAGATCGGTTCCATTACCATACATTTGTGAATTCTCTAAGTGAACAAGCTAGACTTGTTTTCATACAACTGAGAGAAAGTACAACACACATCTCATCCATTAAAATGCACCCTCTCATAGCAAGGGAAATTCTGGAACAGCTGTCTGCCATTCAGCCTCAAAGCTCCATCACAAAGGATCTTCTCCTTGACAAGGTTCTGATGGATCATAGGTTTGGCAGGGATGAATTTCTGAAGTTCATCCGAGATCTTCTCATCAGACGCAACAAAATAAGCAGAGGCGATCCTAATGACAGTTCGTTCTCTCCTTTGATTGAGCATGTCTGTAGAGAGAAGCCTGATGGCCTTCAAAAAGCAACTGAACTTTTAGAAGCAGCATATACCTGCTTTGGAAAGGATGCATTTGTTGCCCAGCAGCTAGCACGACTGCTTTATACAAACAAAAGATTCACTGAGGCCCAGCATTGGGCAGAGGAAGCAAAAGTGCGCTGTCCACATGATACTTTCATCCTTGATACGGAGGGGCAGGTCTACAAAAAGTGGTTTTATGAACAGCATGATGCTCTGGGGACAGCTGGGAAACCGCCTGAAGAGGTCTGTGAAATCATTGGTATAGCTCTGAAAGGAATTGCTGCCTTCCGTGCCTCTGAAAAAGCTCCCAAATCAGAGACAGTCAGTCTGAACAGCTCCTACTTTGGGGAAGTAGATGTTGGATGTCGGCTCCTTCAGCTCATATCCTCAGTGAATGTTTTTTCTACAAAAGATGGAAAATCTGAGCTTATGAGATACTTACTGACTGACTATATACCAGAAGCAGTTAGTAAACCCTGGAAGAAGTTTCATGGCCAGTTAAAAGGAATGCAAAAGAGTATTGAAAAGGCTCTAGAGTGCATTTCTGAAGACCTCAGTTACTTTCGCACTGACATAAGCGAGGAAGAAGAGGAACTTGACACACGAGAACCTGAACAGGTAAACAATCCAAGGAAATGGCTTACAAGGAAAAGCGCTGTGTACGCTGGCTTTTTCTGTAATGTTGTTTCGCATGTAGACAGTCCAATGTCTGACTGCACTGAAGATGTAATGGTCACTCCGTTCAAAAAACAAATGAAAATTTATGAGTTAGGAGGTGGGAATGTCACAACCATCCTCTCCCTGCTCTCTGATCACAAGACTTGGAGATGTGGAAAGAAGCTAGAGGAAATAATTGCCATGTATCCAGAGAACCCCAAAATGAAAGAACTTGACCAGACAGACCTGGTCAACTACATTTTCTCTCAGATAGCTCTTGCTTGTGCTGTACCAGGTTCTCCAAAGCTGGTTGCGCTTACGAAACTTCAAGATCTCAGCATTAGATTTTACAGGGAAGGCAGCAAGTCAGCAAGTGCTTTCTTTTTGCTATCAATCTTATTCTGGCCAGAGGACAATGAATCTAGCTCTGCAAAAAACCAAAAAGTATTCATGTCAGCCATTGAGGACCTTCAAAGACTACGTCGGCTAAAAATGAAACCAAAAAAGAGCAGAACAGTGACTCACTTCTTTCTTGGAAAGGCAAGGGGTCTGAACAGGATTGTTCATAGGAGTGCTATTGAAAAGCACATTAAGGGAAATCTCACAGAGAGAAGGCTCAAGTGGCTCGGTGGGGAGGTGTGGAATACCGCAGAGGTTGTCCAAATGCTGAAACGCGTTGAAGGATGGACAGAAAACGAGCATCTGTTTGTTCAAGGCACAACCAAGGGAAGCAAGATCAGAGTCATCCCCTTGTATTCTGCCTCCTTACCAAATGCAAATGAAAACGTCACTTTTTACCTAGGATTCTCTTTCGATGGGGTGGTTGCTTTTGACATTAAAGTTCAGGAGGTGTAAGGTACACTTCAACTTTATGTCCATATAAGCACAAAATGTGCTCCCAAAAGGTTTCTACTACATAGCAAAACGAGCGTAACCAAATGAATGTGATTTACATTTTCACTACTGTGAATGGTTAACAGCTGATTATGAACTTTTTAGTAAATAATGTATTTGCAACATTTGAGAACTTGCAAAATGTAAATAAAATGGGATCCCTGAAACACATACAGGGGGTACATGGTCCTGTTCGAATAAGCTGCATTATGCAAAAGGTAAATAATGTTGTAGTATGTATGACAATGATATGGCTGGGTGGGGAGGTATGGACAAACTCACACGTTGTCCAAATGCTGAAACGTGTTGAGGGTTGGACAGAAAATGGAAACCTGTATGTCCGAGGCATGGCCAAGGGACGCAAGATCAGGCTCATCCCTTAGCATTCTGCCTCTCTACCAAATGCAAATGAAAATGACACTTTTTTATTTACCCAGGCTTTTCTTTCGATGAGGTGGTTGCTTTTGACATCAAATTATTGAGAACATGACAAGAAATACAAGCAGCAAAATGTAAATTCAATGGGAACCCTGGAACACAAACAAGGGGTACATGGTCCTGTTAGAATAAGCTGCATTATGTAAATAGTGAATAATGTATGTATAATGATGATGTCGTAAATAAATACATTTGTAATGTCTTCTTGTCCATATACATATATAAATGATGTCTTAAGAGCAAGTATTCAATGCATAATCCCCATATGTGTTGCGATTGAGGTTAGTCAAATAAAACAATATAATTTATTAAAAGCCTATCCAAGTGAAGTATTTTTGTTACCAGTGCAAAGGACTTGTTGATCTTAAAACCTACTAATTTAGTCAAAAACAGTATGTTTGGTTCGCACACCTTATATAATGCTGAATAAAATTCTCAATTGCAAGTAAAAGATACATATTATATTTTATGTAAAAGACACTGCAGATGAACAAAATGGACACACCATGTTAATGATTAAAGTTCTTTATTCTAATTTGAATATTTGTCCAAACAAAATCTAAATTTGTCACAAAGTACTATACAGTAGGCTTTGTTTGGCTTAGTTGTGTGTCCTAGGTGGGTCTTTGAATAATGATGCCTATTATGCTAATTAACAAATAACATAAATATTGTGGCTAATAATGAGTGCCAATAACTAAAGAGCAACAGTGAAAACATAAAGCTCAGGGGTAATTAAATCAATCATTCACTGTACAGTAGTGCATCATCTTCTTGTTGCTATTTTACTAACACATCTACAAGAGTATACTTAAGAAAATAACACTCTAGCAACATTAGTCAGGCTGCGTTTACACAGGCAGCCCAATTCTGATACAATTAATAGCATGGGCGTTTATTTGTTTCAATCACTGAACACAACCAACGCTTAGTAGAGAAAGGCTTCTATTTGAACTAGGCATCTCTTTTCTTACTAA